GTGAGTTTTAGAGACGGCGTGGGCCGCCCTGAAGTAATACCTCACGGTAGTTCCAGGGCGGTCCACAGTTGCGCCGGTCGGTTGAAAAAAAAAAGGCATCTTGTGGCGCCGTGTATGACGTGTTCGCGCCACAAACAGTTTGTTTTGTACGTACACAGTACATACGTTTCGCGCTTCTAAGATTGCTATTGATCGGCCATAGTTCACCATATTTTTATTATTTACACACTCTGTTGCGTCTTGACTGGACTCATAATATCCGGATGTGCAAGGTCATCTGTACACATGTTTTCTATTTGTCTATCCGTGTAGACGACCGTTGTCGCACATCATGGACTATTGTCATCGTTCACGTCTTGATCATTTCAACGCACACATACAGTCCACATCTGACCGCCATTAGTCACCGTTCTACATTATACAGCTAAGTTTTAATTGTTTGTCTTATTTCTTCTTCTTCTTCCTCGCCATAATCCCAACTACTTGGTGTCCGCCACCCTTATCCTAAACTTCTACTTGACACTATATCCACATCATCTACGCGCACATCAGCTGTCCTCATATCGCATTCAATAGCATCCCTCCATCTCTTTTTTGGTTTTCCTCTTCCTCTTCTTCCTTCAACAATCATTTCTATAACTTTTTATGCAAATTCCGATTCTTGTCTCCTTATCTCAATTGTTTGTCTTATTTATTTTATATATTTTCCATTTTGTTAATAGCCGCTTTGTCGGTAATTTTAGTATGTAAGTAAATCCTCCCCCCCTTACCATTAAATTTTTAAGATTTATTTTGTAAAACTGTAAATAATAATTCGTATTTTGTACATACATAAACAGGTGTACCTATCTTCTTACCCCCTCTTATTTTCCTTATATATATCGCTTTGTTTGCTACAAAATAAACAAAGCCGTTCACAGTAACAGGCAATTCCCTTTAATATTAAAGAGCTGCTTGTTACAGTTTTACTATTATTCAACAAATAAATTAAAAATAATAATATGAAAATTTATCAAGTGCTCCTAATTGAATACTTTAATAATACACAAAATATCTGAATATCAAATAATAGTGATTGAATATTATACTACATATATATACTACATATATATACTATATATATATACTATATATATATACTATATATATATACTATATATATATACTATATATATATATATACTATATATATATACTTCACGTCATATAGTCAATATAATTATTTACGAAAACGATTCAAATTTTAAATAATATGATTTGATTACACAAAGTCTACAACTGATTTTACTTGTAATAGATTCCCAAACACTATATTTTAAAAGAAATATAATTTATAAGTTTTCCTTATTTAATTTTTTCATGCTTGTTGTGTATTTTCTTTTGAGAGAATATATTTTATTGAGGGATCGACACCAATATTTCTTAAATCTTCCTCTGGCCAAAACAATATTCAAAAATATTTATATCTATGTAAAAAATTTATTAACGTGGTATTATGGTGGCCCAATGTGTCCCGGCGCTAGAGCCTTGAATGGATGCGGCACAATATTCACCAAGACAAAATTTAAACACTGTAAATATACTCGTAAGTTTCTCTGTACTGTCTGCCGGCGTGATGTTTATTAAAACAAAGACATTAGCGACGAGACTAGCTACCCAATGAGAAAAGCTCAGAATACATTTTTACTATTAAATAAAAATGTAAAGTTAGGTTGGATTCCTTATTAAAATAAAATAATTAAAAAAAATATTTAATGTTTAAAATATTATTTGATATTTATTTCATATAAGAAAAATAAAATATTATTCAATGAATTATTTAAAGAAAAATATTCCAAGTCCAAAGTAATTAGAAAAACAACCAAGTCCCAGAGAGTGAAATCTTGAATAGAGTGTCGTAGATTTTGTGTATTTTAAAATCGCCGAAAAGAACTGGTTTAGACGGGGGGAAATGGCTTTTTATAGTCCGAAGGGGGTAGCTCAGCGATCCCTACCGTGATCCTGGAAGCTGAGGCTTTCTATTTTAATTGGCTAATTATAATGCGTGTAGGCGTTTCTTAATAATCTTTATAATAAGTAGATTTTATCCCATAATTAGCTGGTCATTTTGTACTTTAAATAAGGGAACACTGTTTTAGTGATCTTATATAATCATAATATTTGACATACATGTACAAATGATAATGTCATATTATATGTTAATATTATAAGCAATAATATAATATTACAGTGGATAAGATTTAGAATATTTTAATTAAACAAAATTATATATTGTTTAATTTGAGAGTTTATAGGAAACAGACTATTGTAATAAACAACGCAAACTCTTTTCTTATTTTTAAACACCTATAAATAAACGTTAAGTGATGCGTATTCGTATCATTTTTAATAAATAGTTTTTGACTTGATCTTATAATTTTTCTTAAGAAATCTAATTTTGAATTTAATTATTAATTAACATATAGCATCATAAAATTTTCATTAATTTATTTTATAGAGCATCAAATAGAAAATCTAAGATGTATAATTTTTTCTTATATTTCAAAATATTTCTTGTAATTTGAATTTAATTAAAATGAATATTTAGTGTAATTTAGTTTATTATTTGTAAGGCTAGAAGTAAAATATTTTTGTAATGTTTAAATTAATTTTAATTACCTGAATTATTGTTACTTGACCAGGAAGTAAATATTTATAAACATTTTTGAAAATGATTGTATTATGAAATTTGTAAAAAAAAGAAAATAATTAAGTATAGAAGACGAAATGTAATGAATTGTAAAAAGGGGAGAGGACCTCGGGAACACCGACGGTAATCTCTTTTCTCGTGGTACATTTATGACATTAAGTTTCAAAATATTATATGGATACTACACATGGTAAGTTGTTAGTACTGATTACTATTATACGATGAGTTGTTCCCAAAAAATACTTAAAAATGTAAAAAAAAAAACATACGGTTTGTGACTTGGTAACAAAATCGCTACAAAGGTAAAATAATTGAATAAAATAAGAGTGTGAAGTAAAAAAAATAGATAGATCAAGATTCAAATAATTGAAAGTTTCCATAATGTAAATATAAATAAAGTTTTGTCAGTTTTTTCATGAATAACAACAAAAAAAAGATAAAATAAAGAAGAAGAAAAATAACATACATTTTAACAAGTAGAAAACGATCCAAGCCGTCAGTGTAGCATCAACTTCGGATTATTAATGCCATCTCGAACATGATTTTTCAACAAATTTATATAAGAAATGTGTTAAACAAAATCTCATATTAGTGTAGTATAAGTTTTTTTAATAATGTAGTAAATAATTTTAAATTCTTAAGTAAAATAATAATGTCATATAGAGGGAGAATACAAGATAAGTAAGTTAATAATGGTGGTAACAAGAATAAATAAAGTAAAATGAGATAAGTAAAAAGGGGGATTGACGTTTTTAATAAGGAACGTCTTGTTTCTAGTCAGAACAATTAAGCGCTTTTGACATAAAATTTTCATTTTGTGTATTGTTTTATAGTCTTTTAAGTACATCTTTATTTTGTATGTTTTACATTTTTAATTATATCTTTAATAATTATAATTGCGTTATTATTGAATTTTTATTACCTTAAGTTAAGACATTAGGGTTGTTTCCTTTTTTTGATACAACAAAGTGGTGCCCAACATATTTTACATTATTAATGACAATGTACCGTTATACATATTTTGAAAATCCAATTTTTTTATAAAAAGACATAGGTATTTTAAATTTTAACGTACATACATTACAATATGTGTATGTTAACATTTGAAATAAGCAAATACAGTGTTTTATGGGTTACTTTAAATTCAATAATATAAAAAAAATGATTAAATAATTAAAATCGTTCATAATTAATACAATCAGTTTCATTTTATTTTAAGAAATATTAAGAAAAATATTTTTATTGATTAATAATACAATAATATAGCACATTTTAACATGAATTATGGCTTCCAAACTGATTGGATATTTTTTACTTCCCTTGATAAAGCTATGGATTTTACCAAGTCCTCGGGCATTTCTTTAATATTATCCAAAATATTCTTACCAACTCTGTTTATATGCTTCTGGGCACTTTTAGTATCTTTTCTAGCTAAAGCACCTAACGACTGACTTAAATTCTTTGCTGTGTTAATGTCTCTGTTTATTTTTTTTTTAATGTGTTTGGCAACGTCTTCAAATAGAGCACAATATGATATTGCTAATAAAATAAAAAGATAAATTAGATATATAAAAATCTTATGCATTTTATAGAAGTTATTTTATTATATTTAATATTTAAAAAATACTCCAATTCATGAATAAATTTACATGAAAATGTTAGTACGTATCAGATGTATTTTTTCAATAATGAATATTAAATTTAATTAATTTTTAATATTTTTGCAATATTCGTATATTATTGTTCTTCTTAAAAAAATTCGTGCTACTTAATTATATTTACACAAAAAAATTATCTGTTTTAAATAATATAGAAATGCAAACACTCGTTATTTATAAATGTAAAAAAAATGTTATTAAACTAATACGTGTAGTTAATACTCAATTACGTTTGGAAAAATATATTTCTATACTGTTGTAAGACTTAGGTATAACAATCAACTAATTTTCTTACTGAATTACATCACTATAATCCAGTGGCATTATCAGCGGGGGATGATGATGTATCATTATTATTATCCTCTGTACCTATTTAAAATATTATTGTAAGATTGCATTTAGTGCGCTAAAAACATGGTTATTATCTTTAAAATTCATATAATATTTATAAAAGACACATTTTTAAAATTGAAAATATATCTAAAATAATTACTAAAGTTAGTAAGTGATCATGTCTTATTATAAAAACATATGTTTTCTACTTAAAATATGTACATTATTTAAAAATATTTAGAAAAACTAAATATGTGTTTTATAAGCCGGGGGGGGGGAGAGAAATACTAGCACATTTATTTAGCGATGCTAACGAATTACAGAGAGTGCTTGTATTAAAAAAAGTTGTAATTAAAAAAATTACAAAAAAGGTTATATAAACACAATGTATCAAAAGCAATAGAATAATGATTTAATATAGAAAGATAAATTGTTTGATTAAAAATTTAATTTTAATTAAAACTAATTTACTATAAATAGGCAATAATTTTACACTTTAAATAATGAATTATATTGTTAAGTGAGATTAAAAGAAGTTGATTTACTATACTTAAAGATACTACTCCATATTATTCCTTGACAAATAAATAAAAAACTAAAACTAACTTGGAATAAATCTGCTCAATGTTTATTGTATAAATAACCATGTGGTTATTAACAAAAAAATCACACAATCAAATGATTTGGCATTGCTGATAAAACAAACAAATATTATATAAATAGCTGTAGGTAATAGATTTAACGCTAATGAATACTTCCAAAAACAATAAAGATTAAAACAATAATTCGTTTATGAAAAATTGACAATGTTATGAAATGATTTGGCACAACGTTTAACGTAACGGTATTAATTATGTATACAATCTAAAAAATATGTTTGATTTATAACAATTTTTGTTAAATTTTTTATTTAAATAATAAAAAATATAATAATAGAAATAATATATCTGACAGTGATTAAAATCAATATCATAAAAAACGCTTCGATGAAAATCTGTAGATAGTGTTTAATTTAAAAAGAAATTTTTACAAAAATCGTATTTCTTAATTAACTTAGATGTCAGTTTTCACCATGAAATATAAACAAAAACCAAAATTTTTTTTCCATAATAAAGTATATTACATAAGCTTTAATTTAAGATATATATAAAAGTGTCAGTATTTCCAGAACACTTTCAAAAATTATTTAAAAAGAGTTCTAATTTCTATATACATTTTTAAGTTTTGAATCTTCCATGTATTAAGGGAAATTTAAAAAATTTAAAATAAAGTATGTCGAATGATAGAGGTATATAAATATTATTTCTCATAAAAAAATTATATTGATCAATACACTTTTCAATAAGTTATAGCTTTATAAAGTTAAAAATGTAAAAAATAAAATTGAGAATTTTCACATAATAATAGTATTTGGTAGCCATTTTCACCGTGAAGACAAAATAAAGTCCGAAATTTTTTTTTTACATAATAAAGTAGATTACATTAGCTTTAATTTAATATATATAGAAAAGTGTCAGACTTTCCAGAACACTTTCAAAATTTAAGTTGAAAAAGTCAATTTTTTGTGAAAAAGTTGTCATTTTAAATCCCCTCTGTAGGCAAGTAAAAAGTCAGATTTATAAAAAAATTATACCAAATGATAGGTAAAGAAATCATGCATCTACAAAAAAAAGAATTATATTGATCCATAGATCTTTCAAAAAGCTATAGCATTATAAAGTTAAAAATATAAAAAAGAATTTTTTTACAAAAGTCGTATTTTTTTTATTAACTTTGATGTCTGTTTTCACCATGAAGATAAGATAAAGTCCGAAATTTTTTTTTTTTCATGATAAAGCATATTACATTAGCTTTAATTTAAGATATATATAAAAGTGTCAGACCTTCCGGAACACTTTCAAAAGTTTAGTTGAAAAAGTTCTACTTTCTATATGCATTTTTCATTTTNTTAATTTTAAAAAATTGGTGGATTATTCCAAAAGCTTCATAAACTGCTAGTTCCTTATTAATATCCTGATTAAGACAAAGTATGTAGAATAAAATGAAAGATGTATATGGATACTACTCTTCATGAAAAAATTGTACTGATCAATACACTTTTCAATAAGTTATAGCATTATAATGTTAAAAATGTAAAAAATAAAATTGAGAATTTTCACACAATAATAGCATTTGGTAGCCATTTTCACCTTGAAGATAAAATAAAGTCCGAAATTTTTTTTTTCCATGATAAAGTATATTACATTAGCTTTAATTTAAGATATATATAAAAGTGTCAGACTTTCCGGAACACTTTCAAAATTTAAGTTGAAAAAGTCAATTTTTTGTGAAAAAGTTGTCATTTTGAATCCCCCCCTGTAGGCAGGTAAAAAGTCAGATTTATAAAAAAAATATACCAAATGATAGGTAAAGACATCATGCATCTACAAAAAAAAGAATTATATTGATCCATACATCTTTCGAGAAGTTATAGCATTATAAAGTTAAAAATATAAAAAAGAATTTTTTTACAAAAATCGTATTTTTTTTATTAAGTTTAATGTCTGTTTTCACCATGAAGATAAAATAAAGTCCGAAATTTTTTTTTACCATTATAAAGTATATTACATTAGCTTTAATTTAAGATATATATAAAAGTGTCAGACCTTCCGGAACACTTTCAAAAGTTACGTTGAAAAAGTTCTACTTTCTATATGCATTTTTATGTTTTGAATCCCCCCTGTATTTAGGGAAATGGTCCGATTTAAAAAAACAGTATGTCGAATGAAAGATCTATATAAATACTACTTCTCATAAAAAAATTGTAATGATTCATACATTTTTCAAAAAGTTATAGCATAATAAAGTTAAAAATGGAAAATACAAAATCGAAAATTTTCACACAAAAATAGCATTCGGTAGCCATTTTCACCATGAAGATAAGATAAAGTCCGAAATTTTTTTTTTTCATGATAAAGCATATTACATTAGCTTTAATTTAAGATATATATAAAAGTGTCAGACCTTCCGGAACATTTTCAAAATTTAAGTTAAAAAAATTAATTTTTTGTGAAAAGTTGTCATTTTAAATCCCCCCTTGTGGGCAGGTTAAGGGTTAAATTTATAAAAAAAATATACTAAATGAAAGGTAATGATATTATTAATCTATATAAAAAAGAATTGTATTGATATGTTCATTTTTGAAAAAGTTATGACACTTTTAAGTAAAAAAAATTGAAAAAATTTCGAAAATTAGCGATTTTTAAATTTGTAATTTTTTTGGAGGTTTCCCCCATTTACGGGGAACGAGGGAATTTTTTTCAATTTTTAAGGGTAATGTCTTCGACTAGATACGATTTGTGATCTTTTGACGTATCATTGAAAGAAATCGGTTCGGTGAGAGCTGAGAAAAAGTGGTAACAGACACAAAAAAAAAAACACATCTTAGTAAAACCAATACCTTCTCAGCTTCGCATCGAAGCTAATAACGAATTGCAATGAAACCAATTCAACCTAAACTCACTCTAATACACGTTACTTAATAAAAAAAAATGTATAGAAGGCCAACCAACGCCGGCTACTGAAGTGAAATTTTAATCTGAGCCTTGGTGCAAATATGCCGTTTTCAGTTTAAATTTTGAGGCTGCCAACATTTTTTATTTATTTGATACATTTTACAGTCTTTCAACTTCAAGCAGCGGTGAAAGTGATTGATAGCTATTGTAATATACACGCATATTATTTTTAAATAATTTTTTAAATATTTGGATGTAAATTATAAGATAAGTATAATGTCACAAAAATTGTAATATGTATCAAACTGATATAATAAAAATGCTTTGTAATTTAAATATATATATTTTCATGTAATAGCTATTTAAGTCATGATTACCGTGTAATAAATTATAAAATTATAGTAATAAAATAGTCTATAAAGGTACTATGGCATTCGAGATTACCAAAAAATAGGAGATGGAGACTATCAACTATATAATGTAAAAAGGCCAAAGTAGCATATTCTCACTCACTCTTTTTTTGGGAGCAAAAGAAATCCTTAGAGTGAGGACTTCGTGCTGTTATCGATGCCACTCGAGGAAGAGTCCATGAAAAAAAGCTGTGTAAATTCACATGTTACTGGGGGATGCTTAACATACATAAAACCTTATTTTTACAATTGAACACATGAACAGAATAATTTCATACTGTAATTTATTTTAATGACTTTATTATTTTTGAACAATGACTCGGATAAAATATTACAATTTTACATAAGAATATTTTTTTTTCCATCCTTAATCCTTTTTCTTTAATTTTTTGTCTTTTTGAATTACTACATAGCTAGGTGATCTTAGCTCCTTTTTTTTTATTAATGTATAAGTACATTTCATTGTTTAATTTATATGTTATAGAACAAGTGCCTTCTTTTGTATGTGCGCACATATATTTTATTGTTTTATTGCACATCTTGTTGCGCCTTGGCTCCCTCAAGTTTTCGTGCCTGTGCATGCTATTAGTGTTCGGCCCTGACCATCTCTGAAGTATTTAATTATTAAGCGAATACCCTTGTAGTCTTCAGCATTTAAACGAAAAGTATACTCACTGTTCACTTCTGAATGCCATTATTCATCATTCATCTATTTTATGTTACACGATTAAGTTTTTAATTGGTTGTAATAATTATATTATATTTTATCTATTTTGTTTATAGCCGTCTTATAGGCCATTTTAGTAATAAAGACACTCCCCAACGCCCTTTTATTTTAAATTACTTATTCCAAAGCTGTAAATAATATATTCGTATTTGGATATGCATTAAACAGATGTACCAATTTTCTTACCCCTTCTTATTTTCCTTTATTTTTTTGTTTTTCTACAAGTAAATAACACCTCACACCAACAGTAATAGGCAATTACCTTTTAATATTAAAGAGTTGCATGTTACACTATGAATCATTAACCACTCGATTACTCGTAAAATAATATAAATTTAATAATTTCTTTTTTGTATTTTTCAGTCGCATATAATTCTTGATTTAACTATTATTAAGTATAATTTTGGTTTATCCCTTATTCGTTAAAGGTGTATCAACTTTTTTTTTTAATCGAAACATACATATTTATCTAATTTATAAATAAGAAAATAATGTAGTTAAAAAAAAAACCTAGTCGATAACAACTTTTGAACTAGAATTTCAGAAGTTGTTACCAATTTAAAGTTATGCTGTCACTAGAAATTTATCAGAGGTATAAAAATTTTAATAAATTTTGAAATAGTAGTTCAAAAGTTGTCATCGGCCAATAATTTTTTAACTACATAATTTTGTTAATTATAAGCTAGTTAAATATGTATGTTTCAATTACAAAAAAGTCGATACAACTTTAACGAATAAAATACCAAAAAAATACTTGACAATGTATAAATCAAGATTTATATGTAACTGAAAAGAATAAAAAAATAATTCTCAAATTTATTATTATTTTACGATTAATTAAGTGGTTTGTATATAAAATTATTGATTACTAAAAATAGTTAAATAATACACTGCAAACAATATAATTATGTCTTTTAGTCCACAAGTGTTTTAACACGTTTGATAGACCCAAGATATTTATAACTCATATGTTTTATACATTTCTTAATATCATATGATATTAAGGTACTAGTAAAATTTTAATTTAATTTTTAAGATCACTAAAATAAAATGATTTACTATCAGTTTTTTTTTTGTAATATTATATTTTTTTTGGAGATAAAATATGGATATTTGAAAATAACACCTTATTTTTCTGGAAGATCAATAGAAGATTATAAAGAAATAATTAAAATTGACGTTGGGTATGTAAAAATTGGTCAGCATAGCAGTGTTGTTAATATTTTAATAGAAAAATGTAATAACAGACATTTATTAAACAGTATGATTGATAATGCTATTGAGGGACAAAAACAACATTTAAAATGTGGTATTACAATCTTAGCTTTATCAATAATGCGCGTGTCGTCTTTTCTAATGGAATACGATGAAACTTCAAGTTACATTCCTTGGTTGTCGAAAATTGCTATTTCCTATGAAACATGTCGCCTTATGTTGAAAATGTTGTACAATATCGGGTTTTCTAATCTGTTTGGTATGTGGCTCTTTAACATTTACATGTACGAAATGTCGATTTACAGTCACCAATTTAGGAAAGAAAATAATAGCTCGAGTGCAATTTCAAGATTAGCTAAACTCCATGAAACAATAACCAAAGAATTGGAAACGTCTACAATGGAATGCAAAGGAAAGAGTCATTATGACGTAACGAAACCAACATGTTCTTTTTATGAAACTTACATAAAATATAGTGATAATAAACCAACTTCTTCTGAAGCTGTAGAATTTTTCAATGAATTTTATTATTCAGTAAATAAATTATTGGAAAAATATGCTCTCCATCGTATTGGAAAAAATAACGATGCTAAAATTCACCCCGAAAACATCTATTTAAATCACTCTAAAATTTTTCATCGCATTGACGGAAGTATCGGTTCCTTTCAAAATCATTATGTCGCCAATATTCAATGGGGTAACGCATCTAATAGAATTCAAGAAGCTTACGAAAAAGCGAGAACACATTCAAAATTATTTGATGGATTTGAATCAGTAAAAATTTATCATAAAATCTTCGTTAGTCAAATGAAAATTATAATGCTACGATTATTGTGGACAAATATTCTACTGATAAAAAAAGCGTTGATGAATTATGTTACAGAAACGACAGCTATGTCTAAAATTGAAGTAAAATTGTATGCACAAAAAGCTAACAATGATTTTTCCAAAGTCATGGCGAAATTCGTATCTATTGTAGGCTTAGATAAGGATAAACTTATTAATAAATTGATTAATTACCTTAAAATTGACGTTGTTGAATTTTATAAAAATGAAAATTCGATTATTGGAAATATAAAAGAACAATTAGAATATTCATGTTCATATTTTACTAATTGTGATGCAATAAATAGTATGGATTTTAATCCTGTTGATATAAATTTGCTTATTCAGACTTATAAAAGAGTGGTTGAGTATAGTGTTACTCTGGGCCCACCTTTAGATCAGATAGCTATCAAAGTGCATTTAGTGGATGATAATATATATTGGAATTATAAACGTGCTTTTATATTTGTAGAACATTTAAATTTTTTGTTAAAAAATGTAGACTTTAATTTAATTAAAACATTATTTGTGTCTGCTCATTTGATAAAGACACCCAATTTCCCATAACTTGATTTATGGTATCAATTATTTAAATGATATTAATATTTTTTAATGGAATATGATAATGTTTGTTATTGCAATAAACAAAATTATTTTTTCAGTAAATTTAATTACTTTAAGATGTTTTAAAATAATATACAGAATGTTCAATAAGTTTGGAAATACCCATTTTTAAATGTTCTATTAATTAGTTTTTAAATACAGAGTGATTTATTAAGTATAATACTCCCATATTTTAGTTAAATAATGATTTTTTGATAAAAATGTATAGACTATTATTTAATTTATATTTATAAACCATTGTAGATATCAGGTTTATCGTAAAAAAAAAAATATTCCTAAGTCAAGTATTGATACGGTACTATGTTTCCTTGAACTACATTTATATAGAAGTGTATCGAGATCTAAAACATAAGTTTGCGGTGGCCTCCTAGTGGTAAATTTGTCTCTACGACGCTCTTGATTGAGGGTTCCAATGTTGTGCCTCTTTTTAGACTAACTTTCGAAGTTTAAATTGGGGGACCTATTGTTATTTTTTTAATAATAAGTTGAAAATATTGTAAATAAGTTTTTACAATATATAGTTATAGGCAAATGAAAGTGATCCGTCGCATAAACTATTAAAGTCATTAATTTACCTCAAACTCTCCTCACCTGTCCATAGATCAATTGTAATATTAGAACACATGTGAACTAGAGATTAAGACCGTTTGGAAACCTAAAACCCATAGGTTATTGCAAACTCAATTTTGACCGAAACCTTTATTTAAAAATCTAAAACGTATTTGAAATCTAATTATATAAATAACATTATAAATATTAATAATATATAAATTGCATAGCAGCTATAAACTATTGGGCCAATTACAGAGCAAGAAACACATGTTCTTTGTCAATTTGAATTTTAGTGTAAATATGAAAACGTCCCGTCATTCTTAGTTAGTCGTTTATATTTATTTAATTTAAATTCAATAAACGAAAAGTTTTAAAGATTTTTTTTTGCTCAAATACATAATTGCATATTACAAAGTTAACTATTTATAAGATATTCGTTGACTAGAAATTTCTATTATGTATTGTTTATAGTTGGTAAATTGTAGTTAAAGTGTTAAATATCTACTATTAACCAATGGCCGATTTTCAACATTTCTCTAGAGAACAAAAATACACATGATTTTTCTAAATTTTTGGGGACTGATAAAATATTTAGGGCGGGTTAACTGATTCAATCTATGCTGGGAGAGAATCCAATAAACAATTTATGCTTGAAGCACTGGAATAAACATAAGGTTTCAATTCCATATGTATAATATAATTATAATGGTATTTGGAGGGGACATTTAAGCACCTTCGGAAATCCACTACTTGTGTTAATTATCAAATATATAATTTAAATTTATGATTTCTGAAAATATGATCTCAACCTAAACCTTAAAAAAAATGTTCCGAGATCTAAGCATAACTAGATCCGCTAAAAACATTAAGGTTTCAGATCCTAGTATAAACGTGTTCCTATAACCTGAGTTTAAAATGAACATAAGTTGATTGTCGAAACGTACGATACAACTTCCGTAAGGAAACGATTGGAAACGCTGTTTGTGTATAGAATAATAATTTAATTAACTACCTGATATATGACTGACAATATGATATACACCGAAGCGTATATGATAGTGGTTTCAATCACTGTCAGATATTAATCAATACTAGTCTAAAATATATCTCAACTACACTTTGCTAACCTCTTCTGTATTTTAATTTTTCGTTTGATTATTTTTAAATATTTTTAATTAGAAATACATTGATTTTATATACTATTTTTAGATGTATGTTATAGACGAACACTAAATAAAGTCACACGTAGAAAATTGTGCCTCACAAAAATCTTTAAAGCTATTTGATAATTTTTTACTATATGTAAAATTATTTTCAGGTAAATTTTAGGATTTTCATGTTTATTCAAGTTAGGTAATTTTTTTTAATTAAAAAAAAAACAATTTAACATTAAAGATATACATTCATTTCAATAATGGCAAAATTTCTTAGTAAAGTTTTTAAAATATTAAGCATTTCAAATTTTAGAGCAATGTTACTTAGTAACTAAAAATTCACTAAATTTCTTATCAATTATAATAATCTAAAATCAATAGTTTTAGTAATTTTATTTTTAACCTCGAAGTAAAAACTATGAAAAGAAATGATAGTCCAGACAACAAAAGAAAGCATGGAAATGACAATTTACTAACGAAAAAATCGAATAAGCCTTTGAAAAAAGGTGATTTACTTAAAAGAAAATTAGTATTATATCTTAATATTAATATTATTATGATTAATCACATACAAACAAATGTATATCAAATGTATCATTGAATATTTCTATAGTTAATATCTAGACTATTTACATTTTTTAATAAAGATATTTAATGAGTTAAAATTACTACTCTATTAATGTTTTAAGTATTTCACACGTCATTTGAAATAAGAATTAAGAATATTCATGAAATAATCATATGATTTATTTATCATGATTTAACTCATATAGGTCTATAATGTTTGAAGAAATTTTTGTAATAATATTTTATAATGAAAATATGTAGGTAAATTTATATATTTATTTTACAGGCAGCATATTAAAAATAATGAAATGTTGAAATATCATAACGATATCAATAATTTTTTTCCTTGTTTTAGAATTAAAGAAAAATGGTGCTTTGGATATGTCAAAAATACCTAAGGCTAGCAAACCAAGTTTAACATCAAAATTAAAAAAGAATAATTTATCACAGTTACCAAAAAATCAAGATCAAAGAAATATTAATAAGATTTCAATTAGGCCGCTCATGATAACTACACCAAAAAAAACTAAATATTCTACTAAGAGTGCCGAGATTCATCCAGTACATTCAAAATTAAAAATTACTAAAAACGTTTCAAAAAATAAAAGTAATTCGAAATAATTTACAGAAATGTAAGTTCATAACATAATTTGTTAAAATAATCTCATTTCAAGTTTTAAAACAAATGAAATCGTCAGT